CTTACACCTCCACCACGACCCATGGAAGCAGACTGTCTGGAAGAGAGAAGAGGAAGGAATTCGTTCTTTTATTTTTATTTAATCTTTTCTTTTCTGTTCTTTCTATCTCCTTCAATTTTTTGGTTCTTTCTATCTCTCTTTCTCTTGCTCTCTTTATCTTTCTTGCTTCTGTTTTTTTTTCGTTTTGATAACTAACCCACTAACCGATTTAAAAGATAAATCTTAAAAAAAAAAATACAGATATAATAAAAAGAAATATACTTATTCGTACTTCCCAAAATATCGTAACATTTTTTTTTTTTTCCTTATACTTTCCTTTTGTTTACATCTTTCCCCCAACTAAAAAGATTAACGAATATAATCAGGACTCTTTTAGCCATTAACTCTGAGTGGATCACTAAGCATATATATCTTAAAGATGAAACCATAGGATTCCTTTTGTTGTTGTTTATAATTAATGGCCATTTGATTAAAATTAAATTGAAAAATAATGTGCAAAAAAAATTCGCTTGTTCTAGTAGATGTTGTTACTGTTTCCCTTCGATGTTGTTGATTGTTGATAGTAGGCCAAAGGAATGCTGGAAGACATTCGAATGCTTTAGAAAAAATATTGTAAAGCAGATAGTAAAGTTACAATATGTATGTATACACACACACACATGTATGTGTGCATGTATGTATGTATATATGTATATGTATATATGTGTATATATGTATATATATGTATATATATATATGTATATATGTGTCTATGTGCGTGTGTGTCTGTGTGTATGTCTCAATGTTGTGTATGTCTATGTCAGTGTGTGTGTGTGTGTGTGTGTGTGTGTGTGTGTGTGAGTGTGTGTGTGCGTGCGCGTGCGCGCGTGTGTTTGTGTATATATGTAGGTGTGTGTGTATGTGTATGTGTATGTGTATATATGTATATATGTATATGTGTATATATGTATATATATATATATGTGTGTGTGTGTGTGTGTGTGTGTGTGTGTGTGTGTGTGTGTGTGTGTGTGTGTGTGTGTGTGTGTGTGTGTGTGTATGAATAGATAGATAGATAGATATCTTTATGTGTATGTATGTATATATATATATATATATATATATATATATATATATATATATATATATATATATATATATATATATATATATATATATTACCATTAATGGTAATATATATATATATATATATATATATATATATATATATATATATATATATATATATATATATATATTACCATTAATGGTAATATAATATATATATATATATATATATATATATATATATATATATATATATATATATATATATATATATATATATATATTACCATTAATGGTAATGATAATATATCAATAGTAGTCATAATGATAACCATGATAATAATGATAATCACAGTAATATAACGACGATTATGAGAACAAAAAAACAAAAGATGATCTTCCAGCATTTCTTTCAATTGATGTTAGAATGTCCTTTGTGTTGCTTCATAGCAGACACTTCAGTCTTCAGAGGACGCGGCAGAGAGGCCTAAGCTCCGAGAGGCCTATGTGTGTCGTCCGACTTACGGTCCAGCAAGGAATGCTCAAGTGGTCTGCTCTGTGTCCCCAGCCTTTGTGTCCTTGTTTGTTAAATCCTACCGTGCTTTTTTTCTTGTTTACATAAAATCCTCCCTTTGAATTGTGTTAATTTTCACTCCCGCTTCTTATTTCGGTGTTTTTTCTTTCTTTTTTTTATTATTTCAATGCAATCTCTATCCATTGTGTCATTAACTCATCGCCATGGTTTGAATGTTAAACAGTGTTTTATTATTTTGTTCGTTTCTTTTTTTCGTATTTCTCCCCCAATCCCTAATTCCTCTTGCCCCTTTCTCCCTCCTCTAATGATTATCAGCCCTTTTTTTCCTCCTCCCTCCCCCCTTTCCCCTCCCCTGACCCCCCTCTGCAATTGCGAATTTTAAAGGGCGGGGGTGAGGGTGAGGGGAGAGAGGCAAAGACTGCTGGCCACTTCTCTCCTCCAGCGCTTCAAGTGGGGAGAGGAGGAAAGAACGGGGTGGATAAGAGAGAGGTGGGAGAAAATACACTGAAGGAAATGTGGAGAGGAAGTGATATATTTCAAGGGAGGGGGTGGGGGGGTCAAGAGATGAACTGTGTATTCATCTCTGTATTTTTTTTAAAGCTTTGATTGATGTCAAAGGGTAGGGTAGATGGGTGTATGTATTTAATCAAAATCCCATGTTTTCTTAATCGATTTAAAATGTGTCTTTTTTTTTCTCATTCCTCTCTATATCCCCTTTCCATCCGTATCACCATTTAGATATGTTTTCTTCCTTTTTCCTTATTTTTTCCCTTTTTTTATAAGATATAGGAGGGAGAGGTTTAAGAGATCATTAAACTTGTTCTGGTGGTCTGAACGCGATATCGATAACATCTTCATCTATCAAGATTTTTTAGGCTTATTTCATCCCGACGCGTCTGTTTATTTATTCAGTTGTTATTTTCTTAAAAATTACTTTTCATATATATCAATATATAATCCATTCTGATTCCCTCTCCAATATGACAAAAAGAAAAAAAAAGTAAAGAAAAAACTGTCATTATCGATCATAAGTTTATATAAAGACCCATTTTTTTTTTTACCTGGCCAAAGGTATAGATGTCATTAGCATTTTCACACACATACAGTACACCATTATCTTGCGTAGTTCATCTTTGCAGCAGCATCTTCGGCAGGCAATCTTCATCTGGAGGTCTTCATCTTAACTTGAAGATACAAACTGGATCATTATATATACAACATATTATTTTGTTCATCTTCTTCTTCTTGATATTGCATTATACACTTCTTAGTCCCTTGTACTTTTCTTCCTCTTCCCCGTTTTTTGTTTTGTCCCCTTTTCTCTTTTCTATCTTTATCTCTCATCTCTCTGTTTGTTTATCTGTCTATTCTACTATTTCATTATCTCTCTCTTTCTTTCTCTTGGTATATTTTGTTAACTTTCTGCCTATTTGTTTATCTCCTATTCCTAAATCTCTCTCTATCTATCTATCTATCTATCTCGGTCTCTCTTTCTCTCTCTCTTTCTCTCTCTTCTCTCTCTTCTCTCTCTCTCTCTCTCTCTCTCTCTCTCTCTCTCTCTCTCTCTCTCTCTCTCTCTCTCTCTCTCTTCGTTCTTCTAATTTCTACCTTTTTTATCGTTTCTCCATTTTGTTTATTTCCTTTCATTCTTTACCCTATTTTCACGTGTCTTTCCTCTTCCTCTTTTCCTCCAATGTTTATCTTCTTCCCTTCTCCCTTTTTCCCTTTCCTTAAGCCTTGCTCTTAGTGTATGAATCTGCAGTTCTACTTATAGATTACATTCTGGCTGACCATTTTTATATCACTGTAGTTTGACTGTTTTTTAAGAAAGTTCCTTGCCCTGTAGTAATCTTACCTGACCATGTATAGGTGCCTGTAGAATATCAGTGTAATGCACTTATAACTGTGATATGTTTGGTCCCGTTCCTTACTTACAATTGCCCTTGTTGTCCTCCTGTAATCCTGTACCTGTAGTGTCCACATAGACTTGTTTGTAAAGTGATCAATGTAGATAGCTTTGTCGTGGTCTCCTGTTTACCTTACCATTAGCACTCTATAGTTGAATTCAGGCGGGAGCTTCCGTAGATTTGTTTCAGTTTAGGTGTACTATTTAACCATCATGAGCCTTCGGTAGTCTTTTTGTAATTCCCGCTTAAGAGACCCTTGTCATCTTAATCCACTTTATTGTAAGATATAAAAGCCCTATTCTATAAACTACTACATATCTACATATACTATTATTTTCACTTTTTTTTTTTTTCTTCAATTTTAGTTCAGGTTTGTAGATGTGAAAAATCCAGGAAGCACCGATTGTGACATGCAGGAGAGCAGCGTTTCTTCCTTCTCCCTTTAACCCTTCCACCCACCAATTTTTTTCTTTATATATGTACATTTACATTGACGTACACAGTCGCTCATTCATACACATGTGCGTATATTCATAACTCTATTCATGCCGGGTCAGTAATCGATATTTTTTGTGAAGAGATGATATATATATAAGATAGCTTGTTGGTTCCTTTTCTTACTTGCACCTATAGTTCATTCGGCGGGAGCTCCGAATTGTTTCAGTCTAGTTACTTTTACCATCAGAGTCGTTCTTTGTATTCCATTAAGAGACCTTGTCTCTACTTATGTAAAATAAAAGCCCTTCATAAATCTACAATCTACATTCTTTATTTTACTTTTTTTTTCTATTTTAGTTTTGTAATGTGAAAATAGGAAGCACGATGTAATCAGGAGGCGCGTTTTCCTCTCCTTAACTTCACACCATTTTTTTCTTTATATAGTAATTACATACGTAACGTCCTAGCATACACATGTGGTATATCATAACTTTTCTCGGGTCATAACAATTTTTTGGAAGAGAGATTATAAGTTTTTTGTTTTGTCTATATATATCTCGTGTTTCATGAGGACGATGTGTCAGTGCATAGCATTAAGTTATGACATTTCATGATTGTTTCTATTTCTCTTGATTGTGTCCTTCGTTTCTCCATCTTCATCTCCCCGACCTGTCAATTCTCTTCTTTCGGGATATTCACCTCCCTTCGTCTTTCTTAGCAGGACATCCGAGCCCAAGCGTGTCTTATCATCACTTCTGTCCTTCTCGCCTTTCACAAAATCGTATCACTTCCCCTATATTCTTATTTTGCTGTCTATATATATTTACTTGAGAAGAAATCTTTCACAATTTCCCCTTATTTCCTTCATTTTTCCGCTTTCTTTTTTTATTATTATTCCTTTTACGTGACCTTCTATCTCTTTTGAAGAAAAAAAAAAAGAAAAAAAAAAAAGAGAAAATCTACCATCCCTCTTCCTATTTCTCCTCCTTCCTCCTTCCTCCTCCTTCCTCCTCGTTTGTAAACACCAACTGAAAAACCGCCTGGCATGACCTCCTTGACCTTTAATCTTGCAG